CCCCAAAACCCCAAAACCCCAAAACCCCAAAACCCCGCTAGCTAAGAGTTTTCATTATAACTAAGAAATTCTAAAATATCTCAATATTCTTAATTATTCTAAATAGACAAAGTAATTAGTAAAATTAAAAATGAGAAAATAGGTGAGTTAAACAAGAAAGCCTGTCGTGAAGAAAAGTACAGCGAATACAGTAACTATTTAGAATCAGCCTGATAATTAGAAACTGTATACTAATTTCAAAGAGAAAGAGAAGGACATGCTTGCTAAAACTGGTGTTCTCTTATCTTCTGTTTACTATTTGCTAGATCATAAAGTAATTAAACTTTTTTCTATTTTCAATATGACTAATTGGTAATTTCTAGGCAATAGCTTATAAGCTGGAATGTGATCTAGAGTATCTGATGACATTCTTGAATAAGAGAGAAGACAACTCAAGAGCCGACTCTATTCATTTGATCCACAAATTGTGTGTCAATTAGGATGTGTAAAATCTTCTACTCAAAGAATAGAATTTCTAATACTTGGTCGAATTAAGCACTACAAACAAACTAGAGGACATAAGAAGTGGCTGCTTTAAAATATTTTCATCGATTGCTCTCATGAACCCATCGAAGCAGGTTGTAAAACAAATGTTCTTCAAGAGCAATCTTATTCAGATTGTGAAGTAGAGACTAAACAATGAATAGTCTGAAGATGTTAGATGTTCTATACTCGAACTGCTCATGAAATTAACTGTAAGTTACAGAATTCTATCAACTCTATTACAATTTAGACTGATGAGATATATCTAGAATTAATAACCGAAGACCTATCAGTAATCCTGGAGATAATCAAGATTCTTAATCATAAGAAAAACATACGATTAAAGAGATTAGCTTATGCAATAACAGTCAATTTACTGAGTGAGGAAGAGTTACGCAAATCTTTAATGCGCTAAAATCAAGTTGATGTCATCGCCAAACTAATTTCAATACTCTAGACTTATGCTGTAGATTAATAAAAAAACTCAATCAACAAGCTGACTTCTGAGGAAGTTATTTACTCTTTGAGAGCTTTGTCGAATTCAATGCAAGACAATGTTCTATTCATTCAGTTCTTGCAATAAAAAGGTCACATAGCTTTGGCTGATGTATTTGAAGATGAGGACTTGAGAATCAAAGAGGCTTGTCTCTGTCTTTACACGAGACTTGCCCAAGACAAAGACAACAGCATTTAGATTGTTCTTGAGTCAGATTTAATCTATGATGTCCTTAGTCTTGGATGTCAAGATAAAGATAATTAAGGAGTGATCAGGAATATGCTTTTGCTCATATCTGTGATGATTACCACTAACAATGAAAAGGCTATTGAGTAAATGAAGCTATTTGATATAATTAATTTGCTTTTGCACATCCTATCTGATTCAATCGAATTAAGCTATTTAGCTTTGATTAATTTAGGGCTTTTGATAAAATTTGAAGAGTTTAAGTAAAGGCTTTTGGACAGAAATATCTAGTATGGAATGATTGATACGATAATGAAGGCAATTAGGAATTTATAAAGTGATAGAAATACTATTTAGTACAAGTACTTAATGAGAGGTATTTAAATACTGCTTTTGAGCTTTGAAGAATATGAAGACAATTACCTTGAAAGAGACAAAATGATTACCCTAGTCTAGCTTTTGAATGATGAATTTGAGAATATTGAAGATCCCACAACTTAATATTATGTGATACTTATCCTAAAGAGACTTTGTGAAATGAGAAATGACCAAATTACAGAAATTATAACTTCACTAGAGTAGTTTTAATAATAAATAAATGATGCCCCCAGCATTGATTAATATCAGCAGAATGGTTTTGTCACGGAAATCATTGAAAAGGAAATAATGAAGCATATGATATTCTTTTAGGTAATATACTAAATAAATTCTATCACTCGTACAAAAGGAAAAGGAGATAGCATAAGTTGATATGCTGACAATTCA